CAAATTATTTGAGTACGAGATACAATTATAATACTATATATGTAAATAATTACTAAAAAAAATAATAATAAATACGTGAATCACATAAATAAACTATCAATTATCTTACTCTACAAGTGATCTTATTTTATAAATTATACACATTTAATAATATAAGGTCTACGAGTGACGATATTAAATATTGTATAATTTTATTTTTGATATTTTTATGTGCTATTATATTCATAAACATTGCACGTCATAAAATCAGTCTACACCCGAAAAATGGTGGAATTGGTTCTTACTAGATGTCTTCTTAATTTTTAATAAAATAATTATTTAAAATAATTTTTAATATTATTTATGTATTTTTTATTTATTAGGAACATACATCGTAATTATTTTTTCAACATTTATATAAACATTTAAAATATTTTTAATTCATATAAATTTACTAAGTTAATTGAAAATTTAAGGGGATTTTAGGTAAAATACATATAATATGCTATGTAAAATTTTAATACGAGAAACATAATTTCAATTAGAAACTAATAAATATCTCAAAATTAATCTTTATTCACATCCTTAACAGTGTATGCTTTCACGCGTACGATCGAAGCAAATGATTAGAGGAACAGATCGAACGGTTAAAAATCCATCAATCACCAAAAAGAGGAGACCTAGGGTTTGGCAGTTGTCTCCACCACCATAGCCCCCTACTATATAAACCATCTTCCTCTTCTTTCTTCTTTGCGGTGCCGCCCGTGCTGCCCAAACTAGTTCTCGTCGTCGATCACCGGTTTCTTATCTCCGGCCACCCTATCTATCTCTCTTATCTCTTTATCTCTCAAAAACAAAAAAACTGAAAAAACCCAAAACCAAAAGAGCAATCATTTATCATATAGGCGTCTTCTCTCTTCACTTGATAGGTTTTCCGAAGAGAAATTAGGGTTTTGGGGTTTGTTTGTTCCTCTGTCTGTTTTTTCTTGTCATCGTCGTTGGTGCGAGTCTTTATCCTTTCGTGGGGGTTTTCTTATCGCGTTGAAGATGGCACAGGTACAGGTACAGCCACAGGCTCCTTCAGTTGTCGCTGCTGCAAATGGGGTGCCCACCAGCAATGGAATGAACCAGTTCATGTCCACTTCGCTGTACGTTGGGGATCTTGAGGTCAATGTGACCGATTCTCAGCTCTACGATTTCTTCAATCAGGTTGGACAGGTCGTGTCGGTTCGGGTCTGCCGGGATTTGACTACCCGGAGGTCCCTTGGCTACGGTTATGTCAATTATAGCAATACCCATGATGGTTAGTTCCATTTTCCCTCAATACACAGACGTATTCACATCTCTTGTGCTTGCTTATTTGCGATTTTAGGTTTCGGACTTATGTTTCTATGGCATTTTTCTATTGCGTAGTATTTACATATTTGTTATTTTTTATCGGATGCTGGAAGCATTATATAACATAAAGTTGGTTTTATGGAGACTAAAATTAGTTTGATAGCATGGTGTATAGTTCTTATTGTTCACTATTGTTATGTACTTTACTGAGGAAATTACACTGTAGGCAACAGTAAATTTGTCTTGTTTGTGCTGATCCATATATTAAATTTGGATTAATTTGGTGAAGATTATTCGGTATTAACTGGACTTGTGGGTAACTTAGATGGTACCGGATGCTATCTCCATCCAATGGAATCCAAACACTGGCTTAGTTGAATAGTTGCTGCATTGGCGTGCTCTGTTTCCAGCTTTTCATCTTGCTCTCCTTGCAGTACGATATACACTGGTGGTGGCAGATCTTAGCTAGTGCAGTTATCATCTGAATTTTTTCGTTTTTTCTTATAAGAAAAGAAAGTATGTGAGAGTTGCTTCGCCCACATAAATTTTTTTTTTATAGAAACATTTATGGTCAGACAATTGATAGTATCTTTACTTCACTGTACCTGCTAGAAGGAGAAAATGAAACCAATGAAAGAGATTTATATGGATTTGGAACTGTGTTAACCAAGAAGTGACATAAATCAAACTAAGCCTGGCAAGCTTATGCCGTCCTTTTGGAAAAAAAATTATATGATTGGCACCTGAAATAAGGGTAGTTGTCTTTCTTTGTGTTAGCATATATGATGGCATATGATCATGCAGGATGTCTTTATGACGTATGGTATCCATATTTCTATCTTTCAGTTGCATTATAGTTCTAATTTCTATTATTTGACTTGAAATCAAGTATTTTAAACCTCAACCTTTGCTGACATGTTCTTTTTATTATTTTTATTGTTTTTTCAACCTGGCAGCGGCACGGGCATTAGATCTTCTAAATTTTACCCCTCTACATGGGAAGCCAATCAGGATAATGTATTCTTATCGTGACCCTACTATTCGTAAAAGTGGGGCCGGAAACATATTTATCAAGGTACTTGCACAGTTTGTGACTGATTATTTGCATGGACTTGGTTGATCTTCCTTCCACTTATCCTAGTGTTTGTCTTTTCCTCTCTGTTTATTGCGGCAGAACTTGGACAAAGCAATTGATAACAAGGCACTACATGACACATTTTCTACATTTGGGAATATTTTGTCTTGCAAAGTAGCTACTGACCCTTCGGGTCAGTCTAAAGGTTATGGCTTTGTGCAATTTGATAATGAGGAGTCTGCTAAAAATGCAATTGATAAGCTGAATGGAATGTTACTGAATGAGAAGCAGGTTTTTGTTGGACCATTTCTTCGTAAGCAGGAAAGAGAATCTGCTAGTGATAAGGTAAAATTTAACAATGTATATGTGAAGAATCTGTCAGAATCAACCACTGATGAAGACTTGAACAAAATTTTTGGAGAATATGGAACTATTACTAGTGCTGTAGTTATGAGAGATGGAGATGGGAAGTCCAAATGCTTTGGGTTTGTCAACTTTGAGAACCCCGAAGATGCTGCTCAAGCTGTCGAGGCTCTCAATGGGAAGAAGATTGATGATAAAGAGTGGTATGTTGGAAAAGCACAGAAGAAATCAGAAAGGGAGCTTGAACTGAAAGGGCGGTTTGAGCAGACTTCAAAGGAGGCTGTGGAAAAATTTGAAGGATTGAACTTATATGTTAAAAACCTAGATGATAGCATCACTGACGATAAGTTAAGAGAATTGTTCACGGAATTCGGTACAATTACTTCATGCAAGGTCAGTATCATGGTTATTCCAAGTGGACCCTTATTTCCTGCCAGCAGTTTTGGTTATATGTTGTAGCTCATCTTGCGCTAACTTTGTGGTTCAACAGGTTATGCGTGATCCCAATGGTGTTAGTAAAGGATCAGGGTTTGTTGCCTTCTCAACTGCTGAAGAGGCATCTCGGGCTGTAAGACAATGTTTATCACTTTGTTTAGATTTTCTCATAAATTATGTCTCTCTTTTTAATTGTTTTCTCTTTTTCTTTTTGGGTTGTTTTAGTTGGCAGAGATGAATGGTAGAATGGTAGCTAGCAAACCACTTTATGTTGCTCTTGCTCAAAGGAAAGAAGAAAGAAGAGCTAGGTTGCAGGTGTGTTCACCTACATACTTTGTATTATTGGATCAAACAGTCCGAATGAATGCAATCTCTATTGAAAACCTTTTGCTTTTTTGTTCCGTTTAAATCAAAAAGAGAAAAGATTTGATTAAGCTAAGCCAAAGAATGACTTTTACTGAGATAACCTTTGACAGTGATCTCAAGCAATGATTTAACAATTAATTTGGCAAGAAACTAGTCTATGAGCTCATTGTCAATGTATTTAATGTCAATTTCTGTTTCACGTAAGGCTATTCTTCTTAACAGGCTCAATTTTCACAAATTCGACCTTCTGGAATGGCACCTCCAGTAGGCCCTCGTATGCCAATATATCCCCCTGCTGCTCCTGGTCTTGGACAGCAACTATTCTATGGCCAAGGCCCTCCAGCTATTCTTCCTCCACAGGTATTATGCTTGGATTATTATTTGGTTACTTCTGTCATTTTGAGTCAGCATTTGAATCTTACAAATCCAGATTGGCTGGGTTTACTTCAATTATATTATGTCATATCTGGTTTCTTGTATATGCATTTGATATCTTAACTATCAAAGCCAAAATGCTCACTGTTTTTGTTATCTCCAGTTAATCAGTTAATTTTGATTTGGGGTTCGGTACAGTTCATGCAGGTGGTGACCAGTTCTATGTCATATATAATATGACATATGCCCATCCAGTAACTACTTTCATGTCCAGTTCAAGTATATGCTTGCAACTTAATAGATCTGGCGTTGTACCTTCGTGCCAGATGTACATAAACTTAAAATAGACTTCCTCATATATCCTCTATGAACTTTAAATACTCCTTATCTTTGTAAATTCTGAAAAATTAATGATCCTCGTACTTAATTTGTGATTATATGGTTCAGTTGTTTTAGATGCATTGCATGATAGGTTTTACGTTGGTATACTTACAACTTACAAGTCCTGCGTAGTGAGTTGTGTAAATAAGCTATACATCTTTGTATTGTTATGGCAGATCTTTCTCTATTTATGATCCTGGTATGTTGTTAACTGTCCACTTTCCCTATTTGTCAGCCTGGATTTGGGTATCAGCAGCAACTGGTTCCTGGAATGAGGCCGAACTTTTTTGTACCAATGGTCCAGCCAGGTCAGCAGAACCAGCGGACAGGAGGTAGGCGGTCAGGTGCTGGGCCTGTCCAGCAATCACAGCAGCCAATGCCTCTAATGCAGCCACAGGTTTGTAGAACTCTTCCTCACTTTTTTCCCTTGGATCAGTTGTCTGCTTTCTCCCACTCTGGACAGTAAGCGCCTTCTAACTTCTCTTAAACCTTAATATCTATGCTGAATAACAGATGCTTCCTCGAGGAGGACGTGTCTATCATTATCCTCCTGGTCGAAACATGCCTGATGGTCCTGTTGCTGGTGTACCTGGAGGCATGCTTCCTATTCCTTATGATATGGGTGGAATGCCTTTCAGAGATGCTGCATTCTCACAGCCTATGACAACTGGGGCTTTGGCTACGGCCCTTGCCAATGCACCACTTGACCAACAGAGAACTGTAAGTTTGTCCTTTTCTGGTGTTGATACACACACAGAGGGCACTCTTTTTGTTTACATCTTTTACCGTGTTGTGATGATTTTATTTAAACAAGACAGTACTAGGAGCACCAAGCATTTTCAAATAGCAACAATGTTATGGTAACCATGAGCATAATAATATGTTTGTTGCAGCTACTGGGAGAAAACTTATATCCGCTTGTGGACCAGTTGGAGCATGAAAATGCTGCAAAGGTGACTGGCATGCTTCTAGAGATGGACCAAACAGAAGTACTGCACCTGCTGGAATCACCAGAAGCCTTGAAAGCAAAAGTTGCAGAAGCGATGGAGGTATTGAGAAATGTTGCTCAGCAGCAACAGCAGGTTAATAGCCCAACTGATGGAATGGCCTCACTCTCGCTGAATGATAAGGTAGTTTCTTGAGTTAAATTAGGTTATTATGGAACTTTAGCTGTTGTGCGTTTGCAGGCATACTTTTTGGACAGATTGGATTTATGGGTCTTTTTTATTTAGCTTTGGAGAGATTGAATTTATGGGTCTTTTTTTTTTTGGTTAAATAAATGGTTTATGGATGTGATTCTTGAATATTTAGTTCAAGTATGGATGTTATTAAACTCTTTTTAGTTATTTGAAGTAGATTAAAAACCCTGCAGGCAAGTCCTGAAATTAAGTTTTTGAGAACAGGATTTCTAGCTTCCAAGGAGGGTAGCCTATGCTTTTAATTGCAGTGAGGTTGAATGAACTTCTGATACTCTTTTGCCTTGATTGTTGCCTGCGGTATAATTGATATTTGATCAATGGAATTGTTGGATTAAAACTTTGAAACATAAACAGTAGGATCCGATGATAATAGTTTTAGTGTTTTTCAAAAAATTAATTATAGGAAGTACATGTTTGATAAATGTTAACATAAAACATTAGATTAAGTAAAGAATATGAGGCTAAATGCTGAAACTGATGCCATTACGAATTAAGTTAAATATTTATATCACAATATGAACCAGTTCTTGAAAAGCCAAAATTGTTATATCCCCTTGCAGCTATTTGCGGGCTTGGCCCAGTCTCTCCTGTACCATCAAACTAACCTGGAAACTTGGATGCATTCTGAAAATTTTCTGATACAAAGATGATTAGATTAAGTATATATATATTTGTAAGAATCAAATTTGATTTGAACAAAATAATAAATTATTCGTTTGAAAAACATAATTTTGGGAATAACCCAAATTGTATTATGGTTTGCCAAGTTCAGAACCAGACCTTGTTTGGTTATGCATGATTGGGATTGTAAATAAATGGAGAAGTGTGAAAGAAAAAAGATGAGAGCCAGAGGGGTTAGGTATGAACTGTGTTGCAGGTTAATCAAATGAATTTATGAAGGCCAGATCCAATGCACTACGCCGTACTCCATTCAGATTTCAATTTCCCAGCTACAGCTTTTAATGGAGACTCTTCTTCTATAATTCATCCTCCATTAAACACCCTTTTTCAATTAATCAGTCGAATCATAACTCCTACCTACAATAACATGGGAAAAAAAAAAGGAAAACTTTCTTAGTGCAGATGCAGACCAGATAACAGGTTCACCTTTTAATGGCTCATGTAGTTGCATCTGATTGGTAGAAGGTTTTAGCCTTTTGACAACCCCTTAAACCTAATATAATATACACTATAATTAATCATATCCACTCATTATTTGATGACCCTTTTTAACACATAAACACACACACATGAATGTGCTGAAATATAGATATGCTCTTTCTGGAGGGTCTATTCCATTTGACCCTTAAATTTAGATTTTGAGACATTTCCCTAAAACCTTAATTGAAAAGGAGCAAATTTTAATATAATATACTTTGTAAAGAATTCTATCCACCCATTATTTGATTATCCTTTGACACACAAACACACATGAATGTGCTGAAATGTAGATATGCCCTTTCTGGAGGGTCTATATTCCATTTGACCCTTAAATTTGGATTTTGAGAGATCTCCCTAAAACCCTAATTGGAAATGAGCAAATTTTAATATAATATACCCTGTAATGAATCCTATCCACCCATTATTTAATAACCACTTTGACACACAAACACACACATGAATGTGCTGAGATGCAGATATGCCCTTCCTGGAGGAGGGTCTATTCCATTTAACCCCTAAATTTAGATTTTGAGAGATCTCCCTAAAACCTTAATTGGAAAATGGCAAATTTTAATATAATATACCCTGTAATGAATCATGTCCGCCTATTATTTGATAACCCTTTGACACACAAACACACACATGAATGTGCTGAGATGCAGATATGCCCTTCCTGGAGGAAGGTCTATTCCAATTGACCTTTAAATTTGAATTTTGAGAGATCTCCCTAAAACCCTAATTGAAAAGGGACAAATTTTAATATAATATACTCTGTAATGAATCCTATCAACCCATTATAAAATGACCCTTTGACATACACACACACATGAATGTGCTGAGATGCAGATATGCCCTGCCTAGAGGAGGTTCTATTCCATTTGACCCTTAAATTTGGATTTTGAGAGATCTCCCTTTCTTCACATAGCTTTTTTTTATGTATAATTTGTAAGTATTGAAATATTATAACTCTGTCAAGTTAAATATTAGTTTATAAAACCTACTCTATCATTATTATTTTTTAATAGCTTATATGAAGAGTAGCATCTAGGATCTTCTTTATGGAAGTAATATATATATATATATATATATATACATATATGTACCATCATGTGCAGAAGCTATAAGTTATTTGATGGCTTGATCCACTGGGTCTTATTTATTTTGGGTATCAAGCAACACAAAAGCTATTGGATTTGATGTTCTTTGTCTGAGAATGTTTAAACTTTCAGTATAAAAAATATTTATTTTTTTAATTATTAAAATTAAAATTTAGCCGTTAAAAAATATATATATTTATATATATATATATATAATATTATAAAATAGAAATTAAAATAATTTCCATTTATGGTCCCCCTCTTCCCCACCTCTCAATTTTGACAAATTTGTCTGTGAGTTGTTTGGCACAAACTAGAAATAGAACAAACCTACCTCTCGGCTTTCATTTATGGCTTTTCCCAAATCAGAAAACCAGGTTGTTACCTTTTACACACAACCTCTGTACTAGGTAAATCTTGACCGTTCGATTCTCTCAATTTAATCATTATTTTCATTTTCGTCCCCGTATTTCTTATTAATTACAAAAAATTATATGGTTTTGTCACCATTTTGGGTCTCAGTTGTTTTAAGATCAATTTGTAAGAAAGTTTGTAACTTGGGGTCATATCGTAAATATAACAAATTTGGGTGCTCGTAGAAATTCAATATGATTAAAACTAAATCATCATAATTAAGTAGCTAATTTCATAATTGTGTTTAGACCACAATGATTCCATAATTAAACCCAAATTAAACTTAAATTAAGGTCAACATAAAAATAATTAGTAGCGTCTAAAATCCGTTAATAATCACCTGTCGCGCGTCACCCTCCAAAATTAACATCTCCGAATTGCATTATTTATGGAGGCTAATTAATGACATAATTATATTTAGGACACCTCGGGAGAGTGGAGTGGGGCCCATTCGGATATCACATCACCGTTCAGAGCTTACCCAAATTGCCACGTGTAAGCCAGACACGCGATCTTTGATTGATAAGGTGCTGTCGTTATTTTAATTTATTATTATCTAAAAAATCTTAATCACTTATTAATTAATTAATTTTTTTATTAATTAATCAAGCAACAAAATAATCTCATCTCTAAATGTACGCATCATCATCGTGCATTATAACCCACATGTCTCACGTTGTTGTACATTTTTAAAATACTTCCCAAAAAAAAGTACGTAACTATAAAATTAAAAAATTAATTAAAAAAACAAAAAGTTTAAACTAATTAATCTAATTATTAAATTAATTAATTTTATACTTTGTTACGAGATTAACGTAATAAAAAATTAATAATGTTTAATTAAAAAAATATTCACGTTGTTGGTATCAGCGGGACCCAGCGAATAAGCAAGCTGTCAGAAAGATATTACGGAGACCGTCCGATGTTTCCACGGTTGTTAATTTCCATTAAATAAGAACGGGACCAGACAATTAATTGTGGTTCCACCTAAAATTTGTCGTTCCCGAAATTTATTATACAGAAAATTAAAGGTATTTACCGAACATCTTAAACTTTAATTATTAATTTATTTTATTTTATTTTTTTAGTTTGTATAAACACCGGTTGATTGATGGGACTGAAATGAAAATAGAATATTTCAGAAGCTTATTTCTATATTTATCATGTCACAAGAATAAACGGCACTAATTTCGAAAATTAAATTAAATGTCACTATTACATATTCTTCAAGATTATTATATTAATTTATCGAAAATCGAAAGAGTAATTATCATCGGGTGAAAAAAAATATATATATATATATATAATGGTTATAAAAATAATAATTTTATTAATTAAATCAAACAAAATAATAATTAATCCGTATTAATCATATTTTTATAATACTTTATTTAATGCATTCACCGGACAACCCGACCTGCTCAATAATGCGACCGGCCCGCTTCTTCTACGTTAATTTTTTTACAA